GCCATCCTCAGGAACTCGCAGGTTGAAGGTCATGGGCACCAAGGAGGTGTTAGTCATCCGACAGGACAAAGTTCGAGGAAAGCCTAGGAAAATGACATAAATATCCATTTAGGCACCAATTATCTCCTGATACCTGGTGTGAAATATCCTGGTAGGATAAAACTGTGCTTGGAGTTTAGCTCCTTGTTATCTGAACTACAGCTCATTGAGCAGCTCAGTGAGGAATTAATCCTCACTTAGTTCCCTTTGATGCTGATCCCAGATTGCAGCCTTGTGAATGCTCACTCTTAGCCATGGGTTTCTCTCTCTAATGGGGAGGAGCTCTCTCACCTGCCCTGAACTAGCACCAGCTATTTCTCACTGATGAATGTGCACCCAGACCAATCATTCACTCTGAACAGTCAAGCCATAAAATTCCCTGTTAACTCTGCCAATACTCACACCACTTTTGAGATACAAAAGCAGTGAGTTGTCATTGAGGAGTAGCTACAATAAAAGAAAGGGAGGATAGAACTGGGAACTAGAACACAATGCAAGGCACCCTAATGCAGCTTCTCTGGCAGGATCCTTAAGGTATCCCCTGGTTTGGGCAACCAGACTGAGCACATGACAAATCACAGCTCACTTCACTGGAGGCAGACAGACCCGAGGCTTTCTCAGAGATCAGCAATTAGGAACCACATTTCATCTTACCCAACCAGTGGGGACATCACACCCACACTGCACACTGGCTGTGACTGCTGCCTGCAATGGTTTAGACCACTTTAGCTCGAGACTTGCTTTCCAAAATGGAAAGCTAGGGATACAGCCACACCTGGTGGGGATGTTCTGCAAAGCCAGGACACCAGCCCACAACCTGCTCTGCAGTGGACATGTGGCTTGGCTGACCAGCTCTGCAGGGAGAAGACATCTCCCAGGGCCTGCTAACCTAGTGTCATTGGAACACAGATGGGGAGGAAAACTAACTGCAGGCACAGCCACAATGCAAACAACAGTCAGTAGCACAGTTAAAAGGTGCAAAGATACAATGGCTGCCTTCAGCTGAAGAAGTTTTAGGAATTATACCAGATTAAGCAAGATGAATCTCCTGTTATGTAACTATATTCCTGTCTGGTGCTTTTCTTGTTGAATTATTTATTCAAAAGGAAACCAAGAAGTGGCCAAGTAGTGATACTGACTTTCTATTCCTTTGGTCCTATTTAGTCTCATGATGGCAAAATGCTGCCTAAGCCACCTAGAGTTAACACCCTGAAGAGGCTGCTGTGGAGCAACAGGAGTGATAGATGCTCTTATGTTCAAGAGCTCCATTTCTGCAACACTCAGACCTCTCACACTGTGGTCCAAGCCCAGGGCACACTCACCAAAGGAGACATCACCGAAGCTGAGGGCAGGTACATTGAAATGGAGAGTTGGTCCAATGACATAACCCCTGCGAGGCCAAAGACAGGAGAGGCAATGGTTTAGTTAAAGGGAATTGCAAAGGGTTCAGCTCTCATGACTGCTTGGACAGACAAAAGCTGGTCCCAGAGCCTCTGTGGGTTTCAAATTAACTCGCCACCCTGTGCTCAGCACAGCATCCATGTGGCCAGGAGGCAGCCAAAGCAAAGAAGCAAGATGCACAGCAGCCAACAACCTGGGACAAGCCCTCAAGGTGCTGTGGTCCTGAGAAATGAGTTTTGCCACGCCTATTATCAGCTTTTTTCTCCCCCACTTCTTCCCTTTGCTGGGTGAGGATTCTTTTGCAATGGCACCAGCCCCTGGGAGGATGCCCAAGTCCTTGTGACTGTGCTTGCTGCAGAGCTCCCTGTCTCCCACATCAGCCCTTTCCTGGCTGTGCAAGGGAGGTACAGGAGTACTCACTGCACAAGAGCTGGGAGGACAGCTTGTCCCCATGCATCAGCATGAGAGATGATGTGAGGCTGCTGCCGCCCATTTGGGATGGATTATTAACGGAGGATATTAAAAACAGTGATTCTGGTGCAGAATTGCCCATCTGCTAAGTGCTGGAGAGTTTGCTGGATGTTCAGGTGGGATATCCCATGCCAACTGCTGCCCAAAGCTAATACCATCCCACTGCCTGCCATGGCCCAAGGTGGAGGGAGATCCTTATATGAAGGAGTCACTCCAGCTCCTGGGTACCCACATAGAGCAGCAGGCATCCCCACACTAAGGGGATGCAGCATCAGAGCCAAGACTAAGACCTTGGACATCACCTTAGTAGGTGGGAGATGATTACCCAGAGACATCTACAGATATGCCCACCAAGCTCCCAGATGCTTCCTCACCTGATAGTCAAGGTCACAGGCTTAGGGGATCCAGTCACACTGAACTGGAATGTTTCCTTGAGCTTCCCCAGGATGGGGGAACGGAAGGAGATCTGGATGGCCTGGACCCCATCTGGTGCAATGATGCCCTCCTGGGGCAGAAAGGTGAAGCACGAACCCACGGCTGTAGTTGGAGGGACCAGGCTGAAAGCAGCCTCAAGAGGTCCTTTGTTAAACAGGATCACCTGCAGCAGTAAGAAAGCAAAATGTAAATATGTGGGGAATCTTCCTTTCTTACAGAAGGCTGAGTTGCTTTCTGACTAGACAATTAACATCTGTAAAAGGTGGAAGATGCTTTGTGCTGCTGCATGGCAGAAGCCAAAAATATACATCAGGACAAGTTCTGTCTTTGGGTTTTTCATGCAAAGCAGTGCTAACTTCATATAACCAGAGTCATGCTGGGGTTATCCCACTGACATGCAACTTGCAGCATAGAAGAGCTGCTCAGCATCACCAGATTCATTCTGACCCAGCTCTACGAGCAAGGCAGGGTGTTGCAGCATTACCAGTGAATCACCACAGAGCTGTTGCTGCTCCAGGTGTGCCCAGTCCCACTCTGGGCAGGACACACTCAGCTCCCATTGCATCCAACCAACATGTGGAAGACATTGGAGCCAAATAGGTAGAAAATTCCTTTACTTCCTTCCCAGAAACACTTTGCTCTTTCTAGAACCAGAGGTGCACCAAGGCTGAAGAATGGTAAGAGACTGGTCACCAAGGGAAAGCACTCCCTAGCCCTTTGTGAGGGCCAGCACTGAGCCAGGAGGCTGGATGGCTCCCCTCCAACTCCCAGGAATAGGTAGGAGGCACTTGACTGAAAACTGCCCTGGACTCCAGCTCAAATGCAGCCACTTTGTTCCAGATGCTTTTGAACAGCCTGAGCACAAAGGTGTCTTGCAGCAGAGGCTGGAACAAAAGCCTCTGAACACTCAGCTTCTTGACCCAGTGCTGCTTTCATACGCCAAGGGATTATTTTGCAGGAAACCTCCCAGCTGATCTCCAAGGGTGTCAAAAAGCAGGGATTGGGGTTTCATGAACAACAGACAGACCTTTCAGACCCTGTCAAAAGGATCCAGATTTCAGAAAACTGGACACCACTGCCTGAGTTGCCAGGAATTCTGCAGGTCCATGAGGCTTACTGCTGCCCCAGGAGCCATCAGGATCCACTCCAACCCTGCTGCTCACCTCATAGCTGTAGGCTGTTCTGATGTAAACGTCCCCAATATCCAGTTCATCAAAGTTGAAGCAGAGCTTGGGCCCAAGGCCTTCTCCTGTGAGGTGCAGGGGCAGCCTGGTTTCACAGCCTGGGGAGAGATTTCCATTTCAGTACAGTAATTCCCTCTGCTTTTCTGCACTTCCTAGCCTGCCTCAGTGCTAGTCCCTGACTCTGAGCTGGATAGGACCAGCTCTTGATTCTCCAGCCCAAGGCATGGGGACAGTTGGGCTGTGGCCCTGTGGTGCTCCCATCAGAACACATCCTGGAGCACGCCGATCATGGCCATGGAGGGGCTACTGCTTCCTTATTCTCAATCCCAAATCCACACCTGGGACTGTGGACTGAGAATTTGGATCTCAGCAAGAAAAATACCTCCGAAGGCAGTCATGCTTCTTGGAGGGATCAATAAGCAAAATGAAACGACTCCCCAGTTAAAGATGGCTGTTTTCTTCTTTTAACTCTTTTTCCGCCCAGGGATCATGACTCTGGGACAATTCCCAACCTGACAATCCACTGGATCAGCTCTGGTCTATAAGGGATGACGGGGAGGTACATCATTTAAATGACCTCCTTGAGATCCTCTTCCAAGGGGCCAGTGGAAGAGTCAAGCTCTCCCAAGGGCCCAGCAGGGTCCTTCAGGAGCAGGCTCCTCTTTCTCAACACACATCATTTGCCCAGCTTGGGTTCCTCTAACTCCTAGACCAGGTCAAGGATGATATGTGAGTAGTTTTCCTGTTTCTCTGTCATGGTAAAGCTCTTTTGGCTCAACCCTCAGAGGTCCCTGCAGCAAAGTGCTGGACACCCCCACCACCAGATCCAAAATCCCAGAGCCAAGAGCATAGCCCTGAGAAAGGAATCCCTTGGGAGTAACTTTTAAATCCATCCTTTCCTTCCACAGCTCTAACAACTGCAGCTGGTGGCAGGAAGACAGTCTGTTAGCACAAGCCCTGAGTAATTACTGTAGATGGCATTTGCCGAGTAAACCCTGTCTAAATAAAAACTGTCTAAATAAAAAGCTGTTCTGTGACATTTGCATCCGTCACTTGGAAGGAAAGCAACAGAGTGGCTGAGTTAGGGATTGCAGCACCCTCCAGAATGGGAGCCTGGCTGCTGGAGGACCATGGGCCTCAGACCTCTTCCTCTTAGATGGGCAAAACCAGAATATTCCTGGATGGAATTCTGACAACCATCTCCCACTCCTGAGAAACACCTTGCAGAGACAGAGAGGAAGGACAAGGTAACCCGAACCACACTGTGCACTGCGAGTGTTCCCTGCCCTGTGCTAGCACAGCAAAGCCATCACCTCTGGGATAGTGTAACTTGGGTGGGTCAATGAGAACTGCTCCCAGAAAAGGATTTGACAGCACTTCTGGAAGACAGGACGAGCATAAAGCTTGTCCAGCAGACTGCTGGGACTCTGCTTTCCAGAGAGGTGCTCACCCTGCTGAGCACAGCCAGCACAGTGCAACACCACACGGATGCTCCATAGACAGAGGCGCAAGGTGACAATTCCCACAGGGAGAGAGGCAGGTGCTGCCTAGGGGTGGCCCTTCCACAGACATTTTCAGGGCTCAGCAGGGCTCAGTCACCTCCCGTCTGGTGGCATCTGGGCAGTGGGAGGTGATCCAGGATCAGGAAGCACATTTCTAACTCACCTTCTCCTTCCTGATGATGGATCCTCATAATAAGGAACCATCCTGGAGGTCAATGTCTACAGGGGCTTAGTGCTCATTCAATTGAAGCTGTTCTGCTCTGTAGCTCTTTGGCCTTCGAGGAAATGCTGGCAAAGTCATGGCGTGAAAACTTGTCCCTGCACTGCTTGGCCTCCTCTGGGATCAGTGACCTAGAACCCAGGCATCCTGAGCCCTAGCCTTGCACAGGAGATCCCCTGGAAGCCACAGGGACAGTGGACATGTGCCATCACTGCCCTGCTGACCACAGACCCTTCCCAACAATTATATAGGAGTCCAGTGGGCTGGAAGAGCATTTGCACCTCATCTTCACTGTGGGTGAGCGAAGCAGGAGCACTGTACCTGAGATGTCACAGTAGGCTGTTTGTTCATAGACTCGGGCTTCTTGGGGTTTAAAGATCACAGTGATTTCAGCCGAAGAATTTGGACAGATCTCTCCCTCCTGAAACAGGAGACATCAAACCATTTCTTTTCAAACATCACAATTCTTGTTTTCTACCAGAGCCCTGTAAGTCTTTATCTAGTGCATCAATGACAAGCAAGGAGCAGGCAGCCCTTATCAACAACATTGATAAGAGAGTCTGGAAGCTTTAAGCAGGCTCCTGCCACCTGCCAGGAGCCTGCAGGGCACACATGCTTTTTACACCAAGCTCTCCCAACCTCACCAGAAGCCCAATGTCTTCCCTCTAAGCACATCAAGCCAGCTGAGGCAGAGATCTGTCAAGTGACCTCATTCAGGGAGGAGGAGGAAAGGAAGGCTCTCAACTATCACTTACCACTGGTTCAATGGTGAAAATGCTATCGGAGAACAGCATAGAATCTCCTTGCACATTTGTCCTTTCCCTCTGGAAAAAGCAGGGCAGATGGGAAAAGAATTCTCGGCGACTGCTGTCTACTCTGCATTCCTTAAGGAAATCATCCACCTTGTCCTTTTGCTGCCGACACAGCCTGCAGCCACCATGAGAGACAAACCCAGCAGATCATTTAATAAGCCACATATTTGCAGACATAAGTGTAAGTGCAGGAGCAGCAAGGCACTCGGGGAGGAGCAGCAGCAGCTCCACAGCAAGGGGCTGATCACAAGCTGGATCAGAGAGTCACTTCTTGTTCACTGGCTTGGCAGGTAGTTTTACTCCATGCTTACAAACTCAGGAGAGGTTTTGAAAGCCAGCAGCCCTCAAGAGAGCCTCCTGGCTCAAAGCCACTGCCACAACTGAGGGGGAATCCACCAGCCGATTCAATTGGCTTTTCCTACCAGGTGGCTGCTTAGGGGAGGCAGATAAAGATCAAGGAGCAGCCACTGCAGGGCTTCCCTGTGTAAAGGACCTTTCAAGAAATGTCTGTTTCAACATTGCCTGGCCTTGAAGACTTGGTGAAGGAGACTGAAGACAGCGACCCCTGGGCTGTTTGTCCCAAGGCTTGTTGATTCACAGGGTGTCTCCAGCCACCAAGATAACAAGGCACCATTGTCCTCCACCCAAATCCTCCAGCTAACATCTAACCACTGACATTCTGAGGTAAGGAGGCACCACTGTCCACCACCAACCCTCTGGCTGCAGAGCCATCTGCCAGACAGTGATGGACATCCAGTCCACTTGCCTAGAGACCACGAGGCTGGGAATTACTCAAGTCCAGGGAAACTGACCAGTTAGTGCCCGACAGAGCCCTGTGAACAGGACCAGAGTCCAGAGCATGGCATGCACACTCACCACCCAAGAAAAGACAGCTACGGCTCATCGGAATGCTGCCAGACCTATGGTGGTGACTATCCCCGTTTCTACATGAATAGGGATCATCGGAATGCTGCTGGGATCTATGGTGGTGACTATCTCTACTGCACCATCCCAAATTTCCTTGCTTCCCCCCCCCCTTTTTCTAACTTTCCTATCGCCCCTTCTCTCTCCCCGCTGGGTAATCAATAATAAAGTCTCACTCCCTAACAGTATTTTGACCTCATTTGTGTCTTAATTCACATTTGGGGAATCGATCAAACACTCTGAGTCTTATCGGACAGGACACCCTGGGAAGAGGAGAATAAGTTGGGTTTCAGCTGCAGGTTACCAGCTTCACTCTTTGATTCTTCCCTTTTGGACCTGCAGGGATAAGCAAACTCTATCTGCCCTGTTCCCTCAGGCATTGTATCTCTTCAGTGACATCTAATGTTTTACATGCATGAAAACAGAGGATCTGAGAGGGGAGAGGACTTTGTCTATCAGCACCCAATAAAGAAGTCAGGACCAGCATTTCTAAATCCACATGCTCACATGTAGCCTAAATTTGCTCTCTGAGGTAATGCAGTCATTGTAATCAACACTTTCTCCACAAAACATCATCCTTGGCTGGAGTACAGATGGAACTGGAATGGGAAGTGCTGAGCTCCATTACCCTGAAGCTCAGAGATACATACCCTGATGCCAGGGATGGTTTAGTTGCCCTAGAACATTCAAAAGCATCCCACTGAGGTCATACATCACTTTTACCTTTGGGCAGTGTGTCTTACTGAAACACGTATCTTTCAAACCCACCTCAGCCTCTGCCAATCCTCCTCCTCCTGAGTGGCAAAAGCCCTCCACTGGAAGTGGGCTGGGACATTACTCCGATTGTAGATGACCACAGTTCCGTGACTTGACAGTGTGAGGTAAGTCTTCTCCACTGTCACAGAGTTCCTGTCCAGCCCAATGTGGACATTCACAGCTGTTCCTTGAAGGCTTGTGTGGATATCTTCACCTGGAACAAAGCAAAGGGGAGTCTTTGCTCAGCTCACTCGCTGATGGGAGCACAAGGAACAGCAAACCACAGGTAATAAAAAAAAGTGTCAAGGCTTTTAGCCGCATGAGCAGTTCCACAGATCATTACATGTATCACATCCTGACTGCTGTGTGTGCCCAGTGTGAGGGTGTCCTGGACACCACCTCGGGCACTTCATTTCTGAGTGTGTTTGTAGAGATTTGTCCCCAAGGTGACAGTATTTACATTATGACCTGAGGGCCTGAAAACGTTATTAGACAGAGATTATACAAAATTAGTAGTACTTTTCTGGGGAATATCCCGTCTTTCGAACATACTGCCAGGAGAGGCTCGAGAGGCTCACAGAGAGCAACTGGACCAGCACTTGGAAGACCATCAGAAGCTATTAAACAAAGATGAGACTAAAGCCTCCAGCATAGGAAAATACCAACTCCAGAGCCCATGAGGGAGGAAGCAGATGCTCTGCCTGTCTCTGCACACTTTGCTAAGCATTCCCAGATTTCTGCACTCCCAGAGAGGAGCTGGGGCTGCAGCCACCCCGACACTCCTGGCTGCAGGCACCAAGGGCTCTTTAGAAGGCTGCAGGCTTTGCCAGAGACTAGTTGAGCAAACAGTGACACAGCACATACAGAGCAGGGACAGACTCAGCCCTTGGCCCCTTCTAAGCTCACTTCTAAGCACTGAAATATGTCAAGGCTTTGAAATAAACAGTTGTACAAGTAGTTTGCAAAGCAAGTTTAACATTACTCTGCTTAGAAAGGGCTCTGCTTTGAAGGATGCAGAGAGTGCACCATGCAGTGCCCAGCACTTACCCGTGTCGTAGTGCACTACCAGGGATGCAGAATGATCCCCAGTCTGCAGCGGGTGAAATTCCACTGTCACTTGCATGGAGTCACCAATGCCAAGACATCCTATGTCCGGACTGACAGAGAAAGGGCTGCAACACAAAAAAAGGGATCGGGACTCTTGAGGGAGATCATAGAATCATATAATTTTAGGGGTTGCAATGGACCTTACCAATCATCTAGTCCCAACCCCCTGCCCTGGGCAGGGACACCTCTCACCAGACCAGGTTGCTCAAGGCTTCATCCAACCTGGCTTTGAACACTGCCAGGGTTGGGGCATCCACTACTTTCCTGGGCAACCTGTGCCAGTGTCTCACCACTCTCACAGGAGAAAACTTTTTTCTAATATCTAAGCTAAACTTCCTCACCTTCAATTTGAATCCATCACCCCCTATCACTGCAGCTCTGCATTAGCACTCTCCAGATCTGGGAGAGAGAAAGCTCAAAGGTTGCATCCTGATTAAATCACTGGAAGCGACAGCAAACCCCACATGTCCTGCCCATTTCCAGCTATGGCTGCAGCGCGGCAGTTCGATGCTCTGGGTCCTTTTGTTGCTCTTTACCAACTCTATTACCACTCAAAGGTGTTTTGCACAGGGAAAGATGAGCTGCTTTACCTCTGAGTGCTGATGTGGTACTGAGCTTCCCAGTTACCAAGGTTGCAAACCAGCAGAGTCTTCTGGGTGTTGTAGTTAACTGGACAGAGTGAGAAGTC